TTAGAACTGTTGGGTTGAAAAAATAAATTCTCTGATTTTCTAGTCTGTGCGCAAGGATGTTGGGCAGCTGCCTTGATTTCTGTCAGAGCCCATCGCCAGAGACGCATCTCGAGGTTGGATCCAGAGGTGCGGAGTGTAGGGCTTAGGCATGCTCTGGAAAGATGGGGCGGTGTAGAGAATAAAGGGATTGCCCTGAGTTACTCCTGTGAGTGCTACCTCTTCATGCAGGACTACAGTTTTTCATTTTTCATTTTATTTTGTTGTTGTTTTCTCACTTGCGGAGTCCGTTTGAAAACTGTAACTTGTCAGTACGTCCGTCTTCGTGAGCAAGTGTCAGAGACAAGGAGGCGGCGTTTAGGCCAGGCCCTGTGCAAAGCCGGCGTTCTTCTTTGGGGTTTCATTAACAGACTTACCTTCATCAAGGCTGGTTAGAAGATAGGACGGTGAAACAGTGGCCCATTTTAAGTGGATGCAGGCTTCAGGAGCAAAGCTCTTAGGTGTCTATCTCCAGATTAAGAAAGGAAAAGTGTTTTCAAAGAACGCTTGCTTTCATTTCAGTGTGACTGTGCAGTTTCAGTGGGGGAGTGTGATGGGACCAGTGATTTAGTACTGGCCTGCCCACAGCGACCTACCACTTTACCTGGCCAGGCCTTGGTCTCCTCCAGTTATGCAAGAACCTGGAATAGTCGGTCCTGTCCTTTACAGCACTGAGATTATGCCTTTGTCCCCATCAATGTCAGAGTCACAGCTATAGTTCAGCTGTTGACTCATTGTGAAGAAAGTAGGTAGAACCTACTCATTCCTGTGATATTTGGTAGGAGACTATGGGGATAAAATGGCATTTCGTTGTATTTGTTTAAAAACAGCTAGCCTAGAATGTGAAATGCTCATTTTCTCATTTTAAATATACAGGGGCCAGTGGCAAATAAAAACATGGTATTTTAGAGTTAAATCATATGATTAATTATAAATCATTACGAACATTCTAGAAGAGTCCTATTCATGAAATAATCAGTTGGTAGTGTTGGAATATACCGATGTCAAATGGCCCTTAGAAGTGGTTTATTTTGAGCTGAATCATGGCTATCTGATGTAGAGTACGTAGTCCTATGTCGACAAGTGTCTCTAGACGGACATACAAATGAGCAGTGCCGCCTTCCCGTCGTTTCCTGGGGAGGCTTGAGCGCCCTTTTCACGTCACTGAATATGTGCCGAGCACCCATGCTGTGGACTCATGCTACCACGTGAGGTTGGAGGGAAAGTTGATTTTTGTCTTTAAGTCATTCTCATTCTCATTCTGGACACAGCCTCTGTGCTGAGAATTGCCAACCCAGTCCTCCTCTGCACTCCAGCCCTGCACCACTGCTGGTGTGCGGAGTCCCCACGTCCTGGCCCTCGCTCCTGCCATGCCTGGTTTGCCCTGAGCTGCCTTGTGCCTAACCTGTGCACCCCAAAGTGCTGCTGCTTCTGTGCCACAGAGAGACAGGCGTTCGCCAGCAGTCCCGGAAGTCGTGTGAGTGAGGCCCACCCTGCTCCAGGGCACCGTCTGGTGAGGTGCTGTGCATCTTAGTGTCAGTTCCTTCCGCGGCCCTGCACCTTCCTACATTTGGTCTGTCTGCCATCCTTTATAACTAACGTCAGAGAAATCTCTCCCCTTTCCTTAACGCTAGTGCCTACCCAGGGTTACTAACATTCTCTTTCTGAGCTTTGCTTTGTTACCAACACATAGGAAAATAGAGATCTTCAAAAGATAGGAGAAACAAAATGTTTTTGCCTTTCCCCATGCAACAATTCTTGAGGAACATCTAAAGCTTTGGGTACCTAGGCACCTGCTTGAAAGAAGACAGAGGATAGGAGGAGAGAGAAACAAACGTCTCAACACCTACCCTGGCACGCGTGGTGGCAAAGGAAGGAGACAAGGAAGGAGGGAGAGAGATGTGGGTTAGGAACGACACGGTTTCAAAACTGGAAAGAATCTCAGTAGAGGACGGCTGGCCTGTGAACTCGGGACGGTCGTACGCGTGTCAGAGCCACCTCTGCCGTGATTCGTTCTTATCCCATCCAACTTTTCTTTCCAGAGAACACAGACATGCAAGTTAGTGAGCCCTGGAGTTCGTTCCTCCTCACTTGTAACATGTCTTTGATCAATCGCATTCTCTCTGTGCACTTCAGTTGTCTCTTCTGTGAAATGGAAGTAGTGCCCCCAGGTGTCTGCACAGGTGGGCGAACACTCCTGCTTGGTAGGCCGCGGAGCAGTCTGCAGACAGAGAAGCGTGCTGAGGGGCACAAGGCCTAGAGCCCTACGCCGGCCTCCCACTCGCTTCCTGGGATCTTCGTTTCCATGCCTGTAGATATGGAGAGATAGGGTAGTCCTCACAAGTCTCTGTGAGGGAAATGGGTCCATTTTATTCTCCTGTTAGGTGAAGTAATTAAAGTTTGGAGAATTAAAATGATTTGATCAGGGGTGTACAGTAGTAAGTGAAATAACCAGAGTAAGTTAAGTTATCAAATGTGAGTTTGGTATTTTAAGATAAGTTGTATATGGTAGCTTCAAAGCAAGAAGTCTACTTATGTTCACTGCCTGAGGTGAATATTTGAAATAAATGTATAGATGACAGCCACAGAAAGAATTCTTTGAAACAGTCAGATATATTTGTTCTTAGGCACTTAAGCAAAAAATATTATATTTATATATAATTTATTTATATTTATTATATTTATATTTATATCGGTCTCCTATTTTGTCACCATCTTCTATTAATAAATAGCATTGTGTTCTATCACACAGGAGGAGGGAAGAGCTAATTGAGATTTTTAGTTGTAGCACAGGGTGGCTCATGAGACCCAGATGTCACTGCGAGCAATGCATATTAGGGATTTAAAAATGGAAGTCGCTGGCTCTGGGTATCCTTAACACAGGACACAGGGCAGGCTCACTTCTCTTCTCCTCAGACCACGTCTCCCACAGCTTGCTTTTGTGTTGCACCTGACGGGTAACAGTAGGTTTTCTCCTGTGGAAACTTCCTTGATTGTCAGCATATCTCCAAGGGCATAATCATGACATGTTAAAAAACAATCATGTAAATTATACTCATCATCTCACAATTTCCAGAATATTTTAATAAGGAAGATTTTTCTCTAAAGATAATGATTGGAAGTTTTTTGGCTTGGCTTGGGCTAGGATAATCATAGGCAAATTGTTGTATTTGATAGATTCTTAATTTAAACCCAGGGTTGTGGTAAGAGTTGGTATTGGTGCCATTACAAGGAAGTAGTTTATGGTTTTACATGAGGAAAGTTATTTAAGTTATACTGAACTCGCGGTTTGAAAACTGAAGTAGGAAGGGGTAGATGAATTTTCCCGCTCATACATGCATTTAATGTGTATATAAACTGAGAAAATAATTGGATCCTGAGATTTAAGTATGTATGCAAATCTAGTTACTGCTCGGTAAAAAAATATGTGTAGACACCCCCTGTTTTCCTTTGTGCTGATACAACTAGAAGTGCAAGGTGAAGCTATATGAAACTTTGCTACAAAGAAATGCTTGTCCCTTTTTAACCACACTTACATCTCTTTTCTATTTTGCATCCACCCTCTTCTCAATTTTAATGAGAAGATTCCTTCATATTTTCTTTCAGTGGCAGGGGAACTTGACAGAGGATGGGACTTGGCTTGGTGAATAGGAACCGCAGAGTCAAAGTGTAATGGTGCTGTGTTTGTAACCACAGTCCCAAAAATAAGCTGTAATATTTGAGGAAAAGAAATACTTAAATCCATTGTAGAACGTGCTCTTTTGTCCAATATATACATGAATTTAAAAAAACTCTGTTGAAGTAGTTTTAAATCTAGCTGATAAACACAGGTTGCCAATACGGTGTTCAATATTATTAGACTAATAAATTTTGATTTTGTTAGTACTAGTAAAGTTCATCGAAACTTTAGGGGAACATGCAGAGTATTTTGACTTCCAAATCAGTCCCAATCAACTAACTTGTACACACACATTTCTCAGTGTCCTGGTCTGGTTTTCGGCTCTGACCATTCTCTTTACAGTGTGACCAAATAAAGTTGCCAAGAAGTAAATTGAGATCAAGTGAACGGTATGGTGCGTGTGGAGTGACCCATGCGTTCAGAGATCTGCTCTCACATCCATGATATTCTGCTTTCCTGGCAGAGTTTTTATGGATAAATCTTTCACTCTGAAAAGTGTCTTGTTTTATATGTGAAATGACGCTATCTTGCCATTTAGGCAGGTGGTCATGGTATCTCATTTTTCTTGTTAAACACTGGAGAATCTCAACACAGTGGGATTTTGTGACATTAAGTGATTTTTCCAAGGCTATGTAGTTACTTAGTTTCAAACCTAGAGTTGGCTGTGAGTATTTTGACTTAAGAAACCATAGGCTTTAGCTAGGTTTATTTATTAAAGTTTGATTTTCCAGGTTGTATTTGATTTGTCCTGTGACTGTTTATTTTTAGGGACATTCATTCTCCTTCATTTTCTTTTTGCCTGTCTCTCCTTTTCGCTTACACCCTCCTTCTCGCTTCCTATCTGCCTCTCTCACTCTCCCCCCAAAAATACATTCAATGTTTCCGTCAAGCACTTAGGAACACGAGGTAAAGTGAGCCACACTAATTTTAAGCCATCTCCGAATGAAAACAACTTTTTGGAAGAATTGTATCAGCGGGGTACTCAAACATTAAAAAGCTAGCCCAGAGCAGTGTGTCCAGTTTGACCTTCTGGACAAATGGAAATTTGTCTTCATTAGCCAGATTGTGTGACTGATTATTTCACTGATATTTTGATCAGTTTTTTTTCCCAGATTGGTAACCCATAATTGAGTGAGATTTCATATATGCAAATTTCAACTCTGGGGAAATACTATTTTTCTGTTTTTTCTCAGCTCTGAAAATCACTATGCACTTTTGGAAATTAAGATAGCTTGTAAGAATAAGTTATGTTCATGCTAAGTATAATTTTCTTTCTGTCTGCTAGGTTTTTCTAGATATGACATTTGGTTCAGGAGGGCACACAAGAGCCATTCTCCAGAAGGAGCCAGACATTGCCCTGTATGCCTTAGACAGAGACCCAACAGCTCACGAGATAGCCCGGCAGCTTTCACAGCTGTATCCGTAAGTGATGTGCTTGCATTTCATATTGTTGCTTAGTTTTATAGAGCTTAGTTTACTACCTTAGGATTTGTTCTACCTTGTCTGTTTTTTTAATGTTTTTTTTTTTTTTCCACTAAATATTCCTCCCTTTCCTCCAAAAAAGAATTAATGTAATTAATGTTTTCGGTGACATGGTAATATCTTAGCATCTGTCTTTTCTGTTTGATAAGAACAAATACAAAAATAACTTCTGGCCACAAGATGAAATATGTATTTTAATCTATCCACAAATAATATTTTGACAAATAACTCACTGTAAAAATATTAATTTGTGTTCAGGAGGCACAGTGGTACATACTTACATTGTTCCTACTCAGGAGGCTGAGGCAGGAAATCAAAGACATCCTCAGTAGCACAGGAATACTTCTTCAGGAAGAAAAGAATTTAAGATGCTTGTGGGTTACTTTGGAGTATATAAATATTCCCTAGAACTCATGAGGTCATGTATATCAACAGAATGCTCTTGTTTTCTCTAAGTTGTGTCTGAAATGCACAAGTAAATGTAGAGTAACCTTGTATCAGAACTAGTGAGCTGTTACTGTAGAATTTTTAAAAAATATAAAATACTACCTTAATGGGTAATTGACTTTTAAATAAAAAGTTTGACTTTGGGAGTAAAAATCTATGTGATACATTGCTTGACAGCCATTCTACAAGAGAAAGCTGTCATGGAGCTAAGAGGACTGTCTTCCCCTAAGGGGTTGTTTAGAAGTGGGAACTGCTGTATTCTCTCACGATGTGGAGACTGGAATCAAGGAAACTGGTGGGAACGTGAGATAGTTTTACCCGTTGTGGCTGTCCCACAGTGAAATGGTCTCTGCTGAAGTAGCACAGGCGTGAGCATGAAAAAGGTAACAGGAGGCTAAGGATAAACAGTGAATTTCTCTTATATAACCTTTTTTTTTTTTTTTTTTTTTTTTTTTTTTT